ATCAGAAAATCATCTGCTGATGATTACATGAATTATAAGTGTAATACTGAAGTCAATAATACACGATTCACTTTTAGAGAGCTCATTCATAATTTTTCACAGAGAGAGAGAGAGAGAGAGAGAGAGAATTATAGGATTATTAATTACGTAACTTCCTATTAAAATATTAAATTCGACGTTATTGCTGAATTTATTGCAACTACTATTATTTATGAAATCGATAAATTGATAAATAAAATTAATTTATAAAATTAACTTATGTAACTTATAAAATTATATATGTTAATTTCACGTTATCTAAATCATTTCAAGCCAGTGTTTTACAGTAGCTTTTACGTGTGTTGATATTGCATTGTTAAAATAAATATGAAGATATTGAAGATTATGCAAAATTATCGCACAGCCATAACGAATAGTGCATCTTATTGACCAAAATGCATTGAAAACATTCTCCAAAAACGTTGACTCAAATTCCAACAAATTATTCAAGCGAGATACCTCTGAACAAAACTTTGAGACGTAATGTCACCTAGAGAATATGCTTCTGTTTTTTTTTTATTTCTGTCTTACCTGCGAATGACCGAGGATGTGAAATTTTATACATCAGCACCGGGCTATGCTTGTCACCTCCGCGGGCTGGTCTATAAAATATTCAGATAAGATCTGTCGGTACGCGGTTTCGCCCTCGAAAGCTTAGCATGTGTACGCGTGGGAAATAAAAGTGCGCTCTATGGAAATTGGAAATCGACGATGCCAACATCGACCTATACTTCCGTAGGGATTTTAATTTATCATTCTTGCACGAGCTTTATTAATTAGAAAAAAACGTTTTAATGTAGATTATATGTGGTTGCATAAAAAAAGCTCGACGAATCACAATTACGAAAAATATAGAAAAAAAATTAATCTCATAATTATAGTGAAAAAAATATTAATGTCGGTATTTCATTCGGGGAAGAACATTAATTTAACAGTAACACATAAAAAATGCAGTAATAGAAAAAAATATGGGAAAATTAAACATACTGTGCACCATTTTAAAACTACGTGATCGTAATTTCAAGCCAACGTGAGATATGACTTTGAGAGAGTTTTGACTTGCCACTAGACTCGTAATTGGGACTGGTATCCCGATGGAGCTGTTTCATAATTCAAACGTATGCACGGCTTTTCCCGATAACGCAAAAATTTGAAATAAATCAGTGCCGAGAGTAGCAGTACAGTGCGCATTAAACACATATGTATATATCGGGAAATCATGTCGTTAATTTCAACCACGCATGACAGATATCTTATTCGTCTTTCGATAGATTAACGTTACAATAGTACAATACTGACAAAATAACCGTTTGCTTTCATTTATCAAAAGAAATATAAAAATTCGCTTATAATTTACATAAAATGCAATTGAAATTTTTTCGTTATATTATATGCTTTCATTTTGTGAATGCATGTTATTGAAAATAAAATTGTTCAATGTTAAAAGTATATCAAAATCTATTGTCTTGATAATAATGTTTTGCTTTTCTTGCATCTCTAATACTTCGCTTTCTATCGTAACAAGACAGAACGTTCTTGCAATCTGCAACGTGACATTGTGAGCGAAAACCGACGTCATTAAGTGTGCTATACAATTTTCGTGAAGAACGTTGGTGCGCTACACCATTTATGAATTCGGTTTATAAAAAGAGCTTTTGACTGAAGGTTGGGACGAATTTGAAACAAAATTGGTATGATTATTCAATTGGAATAAATAAATGTAACTTAAAAATAAAAACAAATACATGAAAACTACAGATATTTCTCATTTTGATTATTTGTCGCTTATTAATTTTTTGTCTTATTATTTATGAAAAAAGTAGTTTGACATCCTTTACTGATATTTATTTTCTATTATTTCGTGTAAACCACACTTGCTCGCAAATCGCAACGTGACATCGGATATCAAGATGATATCAAGCATCCGGCACACGTACGATTCCTCACGAGATATACCATATACTATATGCGCATGAATGTGTGTATAAAATCGATCGTATATAGAGTTCTATCTTAAAATACACTGACGCTAAACTTCGAATAGTTCGTTTAAACCCCGAGAAGAAGGATGACAGGAACGTGGAAGGAAAAATTTTAAAATATATTAAAATATTTAAAAATTGAATGAAATTAATCAAAGCTTCTAATTTACAATGGTAAAAGAGCACTATGAAGAAAGTAAAGTTTTGTATTTCTTTTGGATTTATCATTATTGAGAGAACAGATATTATAAAACTATTATCTGCACAGGCACGATAAAATGTATTAATGAATATTGAGTAGAGAATTATTATTTATGCAATTAGAATTTTTTTACTCGATTATGTCTTTTTAGATTAAAATTTGAAACGTAGATAATAATTTGGTTCGATGTCTGAAATCTGAAATTGAAAGGATAGATCGAATCTTGTTCGAGAATTTAAATCACTTGTAACAGGAATGACATAAGTAGATCTACATTCTATATACATTTCGAAATTATATCTCATTAATGTTGATGGTAGATGAAATTGCGGTTCTTATGTCTTATGCTCATATGCGTTTTACTGTGCACTTGAAACGATAGTATGATGCAATAAAATTTGCTTTCCCCAGGGAATCACATTGATTAATTTTACCTGCTTTGTTTTATGCAAAAAGCATTCTGTTAATTATAATTAAATTAAAAATTCATTCAATTTAATTCTCCATGATTTCTAACAACAAGTATTTCTTTCTCTATATATAATTATTTTGTATTACACTCGATCAATTATTGTGATAAATGGAACCTCGGACTTTATGATATTCGGAGAGTATAATTAGATTATGAAATAATGATCTGTCGATCGAATATAATGCAAATGTATATTGTAAAATTAGAGAACTAGCGGTAGAAGAAATAATACGAAGTACTATTGAAATACAATGTCTGTGAGTTTCATTGTCACAAAATTACTTCCATATATCTATGAACTTTACTCTCCATTTTATATACTATATTAATTCGCGGATCCCAATGCCGATAGCATATTCGAGAAGGTCGACAGATCATTATTTCATAATCTAATTATGCTCTTCGAATATCATAAAGTCCGATGGGGTCCCATTTATCATGATAATTGATCGAGTATAATGCAAACGTATATTAGACCTTCTTGACTGCTATTCGCATTACTTACAATAGGACTATGTCGATGGACGAGTTAACGATTAATTCGTTCTGGAATTCGACATTTCTTTTACGAAATCTCTTTACTAGCAGATAGATGCGGCCGACGACCTTCTTCAACCTCCTGTTCGTTTTTTTTATCTTCCGGAAACTACCGCTTTTTCCTCTCGTCTTTGTTTCAAGCACAAAAGAACGATCTCGAGTATTCTGAATTGCGCAAGCCAGGGATGTAATTGCCCGTACATATCCCGTAGAAATCGTAGAATCTAAAAACGGTACAAGTCCTTTGTACGCACACAAACGGTGATAATTCTTTGTGCTTTTAACAAAATCGGTCGGTATTGGCGATGTCGTTATCGCACTAACCCGCGTATTCGAGATATTTGTACATAGTCCCGAACGTTACATCGAAATAGTTATATTGCACAAATATCCGTTATATATGGTTGCTATTTGGTTTTATTTCGAAACGTGCGCAGCTACTCTGCAAAAACTAACGAGACGAGTGGTTGCGTATATGAAAAAAAAAAAAAGGATTAGAATTAACTATGATTTTGTGTATTGTACCGTTATATATTTTTGTTAATCGTACAGCAAGTAACGATACTCAGTTATAAGTTAAATTTTACCATGGCGACGCCTTTGAAAGGAGTGTGGGACGCGCCACTAGTTAATCAATACGTAACGGATTCAGTAGGGTATATTTGCACGCTCTAAGAACGCTAGCAATCGTTAATTTTATTTCATCTCGATTTCCATTTCCGTGGAAGACTAGTTTTAAATAGAATTCTCCACGTGTCTGATGTTTATCAATAGCTCTTTCAAAACAGTGAGAAAAAAATTGTAATAAAATCACCAATTAGGAACCAATTTTTTTACTACAATAGAATAAAAAGTTTCTATGAAAAATTGTAAATAATTAAAAGCACAGTTCAGTTGCAAAACAAAATTTTTGCCAACGTGTAAAAGTATTTTGTAAGTTATTTATATTATATGTCGCATGTTTTTATGTTTTTATAAACGGTTCAACACTATTTTTTAATTCAGGCCTATTTTTTAATTCAGCCGAGTTGCACATTTCAACCAATTTTGTGCCTATCGTCATCCCCATTCCTTTTGTTTCAACATTTAGACCACGCACAGAAACATAAAACGCTCGTATTCAGGAATGACATTAGTAACTCATACAGGGCACCATAGGACTTTGAAACATATTGCGTCACATTTACAAATTTTTGTTATCATTATTATTATTATGTTAGAAACTCAAAAGTAACACTTTAAAATAGAACAGATATGTTGAATGAAGTTTGCATATTGAAAAAAATATTTAAAACATCATTCTTAATATAATAAATTGAATTTCTAACATCATAATAATAATAATTATAATTATAATTACAATAATAAAAATTTATAAGCAGTAAATGTGAGACAATATGTTACAAAGTCCTATAGCCTTATAGTGTCCTATGAGTTATGGCTAATATCATCCCTGAGTTCGAGCGTTTAATGTCTCCGCGCGTAATTTAAATGCTATGAAACAAAAAGAGTGAAGATGACGATAGACAAACTCGGCTGCAGGCCTATTTTAACTCATCAAACATTTTATGTGAAAAATGAAAGATTTTACAACAGTAGTCTCAGATATAGAGATTGAATGAACTGACAAGCTAGAAAGAACTGGGACAAAAGCGTTAACTTTGACAAAATGACAAGTAAAAAGGGATAGATAGTCGGGACATGGTCGACAAGTAGACCACAAAGTCGACGATGTCGTAACGTGATCCTCGTCTTCTTTTTGTTCCAGGTTTATTCGAGATGGACGGTCTGCTGGTGCCTGGCACGATGTGCGACTACGAGTTTGTCAGTTCGCAATCGACGCCTCAATATGGACGATTTTATTCGCCGCGCTACCCGTCCTCCTATCCGAAGAACATCCGGTGCTCCTACCTCTTCCGGGCAAGGTAACTAATCTGACCTATTCCTGAACTCCTGCGCTCTCTCTGTTCCGGAGAATCTAATCCATATATAATACATCTCCGCTGCTAATCTCCGCCGTCATCATATATCTGCTGCTTTAGCGCATTTAATGACGACAGTCTGTCTCTAATCCTGCGCGTAGTTCATTAACACCTAATCTAACCGACGTTCGATCATATCGGATTCAACGTATTCATTTTGCACAGCGTTCAAAAACGAAGATTTAATTTCTGGCGAATGTGACAATGAATCTATGAAATATTACGTCCATATGTAAGATTCACAGATTCATTATCTCAAATTAAATGAAAGATTATTTGTGACTGACCGATATGATGCGCAACAGCGGAGTTGTAACTATGAATCTGTAACAGATAGATATTCATAAATCCAAATTACATTTACGTTCAAAATAATTAATATCTAAAAAGTTTATTTGTGTTTGAAGCAACCGTTTCATAAAAATAATTGTATAATGTAATGTAACTTCTCTGAAAAAAATTTAAATTCAGTTTTTTAAGTAAATTACACAATTTTTAAAGTGAAATTTTTTTATTTTTAATATTAATTATCCCAGTAGGTAATTAAAAATCACACACGAATTAAGGATTTTTTTTTCTGCAAATAATATACACAAATAATGTATAAGAGTGAGATACTTCACCTGGTTGCTCCGATATCTTCCAGGTCTCTTCCTCCTCTCAAATTTCCTCGAAACCACACACAAAAACTCGCGCCAATAACTATATCTGAAAAATAATTAATGTGCGAAATGAATTCTTTATTTGCCTTTCAAGTAAACATAAAATAATTATACATATAATTTCAGAGAAAAAAGTTAAGTTCAATTTTTTAACTATAAACTGTAAAATTTTTTAAGTAAAAATTTTCTATTTTTACATAAATTATCTCAATGAGTGATCGGAAATTAACTAGAAATAAAGGATTCTTTTTTTATAATAACACACATAATAACGCACACAAATATTGTAATCCCACATAAATATTGTAATCAGTGAAACACTCACCTCATGATTGTTTCACTCATGGAAACTTAGTAATTAACACTTACGCTAATTATCAGAATAATACGATTGCGCGTTACTTGATACGGCACTCCCGATATTAATGACATATGTCATTTTTATTTTTATCATACTATGACGACAGATCGCGACGGAAGTAAACGAGGGAAAAGAAAAAGACGAAGAAAAAGACGATAGAACGATTCGCTTGGCTGTATTTATCGAGCACGACACATCGACGCGTTGCGACACGACATTTCGAGAACAGGCGGTAGTAAGTTTTAACGAAACCCTGATGTAACGAAACTTACGTTGCACGGTCGACAAAATTGAAATGCGAGGTTAACCACGGCCAATTTATTGATCGCGACTCTACTCACGACAATCACGCTACTTGTTTCGGACACTACTTTTTTTACATCCCGTAACGTTCCAATAATGGCTGACGAATAGTGAACATAGGCATTTCACGGCAACTTTACTCAGAACGGTAACTTCACTAACTATTGTTAACTTCACGCACATTCAGAATGTGTGACGCAGCGCCGCGTTGCGTCGGTTTTAAGTCCGTTCGAGAAATATACGATCAAAATTTGGCGTTGCACGTATTTAGAACACAAATCTCAAACAAAAACTACGTGTATCATTAATCAGTTGCCGTGCTTTCTTGTTATTTTCAAATCGCTCCAAGCATGGTTCGCGTATTATTCAAATCCGATAATAATCCTATTTATATCAAGCAAAGTAATTTATTTAAATCGACACAAAGCTCTCAAATGTGATATGAAAATTGCCATCAATTGCCATCTCCTACTGTTTCGATCTCAGGCAAGTAATATCGTGCGAAATAACCGCTTTAGTAAGAATTAATAGCCTCGATACCTCGAATAATCTCAATGCGCTTGTGAATCGTTGGCAGTAAAATTCGTTTACTGAACATAACTACGCATTACGTACAGTAATTAGATTACGTTTAGATTTAGATTTTATCCGAGTGCCCGAGTGTCATTTTATCCTTGTTTTAAAGATAGAACGACGCATTAGGACATTCAAGTGAGTTTTCGAATAACCTGAGAGGCAACACAGCGTTCACTTGCCACTTTAACGTGAGAGAAAGCAAATGATCGATTGGCCACAGGCTACTGTATCGCTTTTTATCATGTAACATATTTATGGACAGAAATCATTAAATAATCGCATAATCCGACTATCGTGTTAATCATTTAGAACGATTGCGTTTCCCTTGATATTCTTCTCGACCGCGTCTCATAGGAAAATAATGCTATGACACACAGCACGCTCCTTCCGACTCGAATCTCGTTGCGCGAATGATAACAAGACGAATGCGTATGTACAATAGGCTGTTACGATACGTTCTAAAGCCAAGGCCGCGCTGATGTAAACAATGAGCGATAAATGTCGCGCGCACCACCGTGGTATACATTGTCACCACCAAATTCGATTCAAATACGAACGAATTATTGTTTTTAGCTTTTATTTTTAAATTAGATTATAATGTGATTTTTAATTATAATTGTTCTAATTATTCTGAAATTATTCTAAAAAAGAATTATGTTCTCATTACATACCTTAGTTTTTGGTATCCTTACTAAACACGGTGGATCTTTCGTGTTCTGGATTAATTTTCATCTTTTTTACAATAATATAAAAATTATTAAGCAATTTTTATATTTGGACATCTTTAGGGAGTATTTGCAAAGTTGTATATTTATAATAAATTATATATAAATTGTTATAACTAAATAATTGTTATACCTCCATATAGTCAAATCTATAGAAAGCAGATTTTTTTAAATGTCTGCTATACACTATGGCAACAAAATAACAACAGAATTATTACAGAAATTAGATGTATATAATACTGTTGAGAGACTGCTAGAAAAAAACGTAACAGAATCTGCAAGCGTCAGATAATGTCGACAGGATCTGCTCAGTTTCTACCAACAATTTGCCTTCACATTATGTCGACAGGCGATGTTAACAAAATACAAGCCTAATGCGGACGCAATTGATGGCAGACTGTCGTCATTTTCTGCTCGAACCTGTTAACAGTCTGTTAGAAGACTGCAGATATTTTCTGGATAGTTAACAAAATGAAAAAATGTCTTTTTTTTCATATAAAAATGTAAAACTCTGAAACAAAAATGTTTAAAGGAAAAATATGTTTCAACATCTTAAAGTTGAAATTCCAAAAGAATAAATAGTTCAAGTATCGGCTATTCAAAAAATTTAGTTATTTAGTAATCTAAAAATGATGTTTTTTTAATATGCATGAAATAATATGTTATAAATTGAAAATATATTGCATTTACATTTTAAGCAATGCGTTTTATTATTGCTATTGTGTAAAAAAAACTTATAATTTATTAGGAAAATATTTTTTATAATATTATATAGACAATATATAATACATAATATTACAGACATTTAACACAAGAATGTCAAAACCCAATATATTTATCAAGGACTAATATGTTGTTCTAGGATTAAATTCTTTTTTTAATATAATTTGCGAAATATTTCCGTAATATGAATGAAAATTATAGCGTTTTTTACATTAAAGTTCAGTGCACATTAAAACTGTTGTACATTAATTTAATCTGACAATAAATGTAAAAGTGAAATATCTCAATTAATAAAATATCTAATGTATATTTTATTAAATACCACAATAAAATGTATTGAGGATTTCGCGGTTTAATTCGTTTCTATATTTTTATTAAACATATTTATTATATTTCTTTATAAAGTCAATTTGTATAACGGCTTTAAAGTACATTGAGTGCGCACCGGCTCTGCCAATGAAAAACGCTATTAGTTGAAAATAAAGAAAAAAGTAAAAATTTTGTTAATTACAAAAAATGTACATTATGTACACACGATGGGTCATTTATGACCCAGAGATAAACTTCGAAATTATTCTAATTAAAGGATACGCATGAATTGAAACCGGCAACGCACAAAACTTTTTCTCTAGCCAAACTTTTTTTGGGAGTAGAAAAGAGACCTGTGTTTGACCAGGTGCTCTTAGTATTTCAAAGAAAAAAAATGCGCAGGACACGAATGACCTAAAGGTGTGTATCAAGGGTTAAATATATGAAAAGCACATGTTATGCGAAAGATGATTTATTCAAAAAGTCAAAAAAACAGAATAATTCGTTCGTATCTACGGGTGAGTCACTAAAATCCGGACAAATTTAAATTTAAATTTTCCACTATATTATGCGGAACCTCCGCCAAAGGTTGTTGTTGGCGTCCGAGAAAGCCCGATGCTTCTAGTAAATAGTTATATTCTCAAAATGGCCGCGATGTTGAAACCAAGTGCGAAGTATAATCTAAGAGCCGCGATCATCGAAAACCTTCGCGCTGGGCGTTCAGCAATGAAAATAATTCGGTTCTTTGGATACCCGAGAACCATTTATAATGTTGTGGCAAAATATACGACTTTAGAACAGTCCAACGAAGGTTTCAGTATGCCAGTGAGGGAGAGTCACTCGAAAGAAGTCGTTGAAAGGGCTGATTTCGAATGACCCAGGGCAATCGCGTTCTGATGGATGTAGTGAAGCCGTGGATGGAAACTGTGGCGTCCGGAAGGCCATATGTTTTGTCAGCAGGACGGTGCACCAGCTCATATGAATCATTTGATTCAAAATTGACTCTCAGACAACGTCGGTATATTTTGGTCCAAGGAATTCTGGCCTCTCAACAGCCCAGATTTAAATCCCTTGGACTACTACGTACGGAACGTGGTTGAAAGGACCACAAACAAATCTCTACATCCCAATGTGACGTCATTAAGGACCGCTATTCGTCGGCATGGACAGCGCTACATTACAACGTGCGTGCGAATTTCAGATCGAGAATAGAGATCGTCATTCAAGCTAATGGGGGATACATCGAATAATTGTGCTTTACAGGGATCCCCCAAGGATTTTTTGTAATATTTAATTTTTCGTTAAAAACATTTTGTGTAAAGAAATTGTTCGATTTGTCGGATTTTGGCACCCTGTATATCCGTTGAACTTGGTACTGATAACACACACAGTAGCATGGCGCGCCATATCTGCCGCTCATTGTTTACATCTACGCAGCCAAGGCTCGAGCATATCGTAACGGTCTATTGTACGCACGCTTGTTATTATTTGCACGACGAAGTTCGAATCGGAAGGGGTGCTCTGTGCGTCGTAGCATTATTTTCCTACGTACGAGACGCGATCGAGAAGAATATCACGAGAAAACGCAATCATTTCTAAATGATTAACATTAGCCGGATCGCTAACGATTGTTTAATGATTTCTGTCCATAAATATATTATGCTAAAAAGTGACATAGTGATCTGTGACCAATAATTAAAGTAATTTCGCGTAGATATATCATTAATTGTAAAATTCGGTATACTGGTTTTAGATTACTAGATCATGTTGAATTTTGATATTATCGCGTTTCTCCCATTGAAAATTGTCTGGCTTCCTACCCATCTCAACTTTCGTCGTTCCTCATCTTGGTTCCTTGTTACGTAGTAGCCAAAAGTTTACGTCCATTCTATCCCAAGCCGTTTCGCAGTGCAGCGGTATAAAAGCTACTCGCGCTCAACTAACGGGGGAAAAACCAGCAAGTTCTTGGCATAATCCCTCGCAGGAAGCATTGCTATTCTCTAACCGGTTTCACGAAACAACACTGAGACTAGACCTCTCCGCGATTTGCGGATATGAAAATGCAACCCACGCAACCTAATGTTAACCGACAAAATGATAACAAGCGGTAATATTAATTTCCCGTAGGATACGCGTAAAAAAATATTTTCTCTCGTAATTTGTTTCGGAGAATATGCAGTTTACTTATTTATCCTTTATTCATGGAATTTCTAGTTTTGCGTTTCTATTGTATAAACGTCACAGTTCACGTATTGTTACGTATTGTTACACGGTTTCATTGACTTCCGTGGATGTCTGACATATATACAGCGATCAAAGGAAATAGTTAACGGAGTCGAATCAAAACGTCGCTCAATCGTGATGAATTTAATCGCGGCGCCGGGCCAGTATGCGCAGATATGATTTCCGTAGTATTGTGGGTTGCTGCTTAATTACAGTAATTGTATCAAAGTAGCGTGTGCAGCGCTATATGTCTAACAGTTATGTCAACGCAACGTCGCGCCGGTCACTATAAAGCCGGCGGATACGTATACATGTGTATACGTATACACGAATGGAGTCTATACGTTAGGCATTCGTGACACTCGCTCTATATTAACATACTACAGTGTTCTCGATGGCTCGACGGCCTTTGTCACGCCGTCGTCGCTATAAGTCAATCTTCTAATGGCCATTTATTCAAGAAGAATAATATAATAACGAAAAGAGGATATTTTGGCTTTGCTTTCCAACGGCTTTGCTTTACAAATTTTTTTTACCATTTTTATATATAAAGGTACCTTTTGACACTTAGTTATTAATCTTTTTGCGCAAAAGATTCACGACACATTGTTCACAGCCGCTACCGACGCCGTTTTCGTCGCCGGCGTCGACGTCGTTTTAACAAATTCATGCGCTAGGTGTGCTTATAATGAAATTAATTACAGCTCTCGCCCATCTTGTTTCATTAGTACCGCGGGGAACAAGATAAACCGCGAGCGTGCACCGTCGTGCAGTACCGCTTGGACGAAAAATGCATGTAATAATATTTCCGTATTCATAAAAATGCAAGCTTTAATATTGCGAGTTGTGTAGCGTTTACAATGGCCTTTATACAGTAGCAAATGGCGTTATAATTTATCTATCTAGGAAAACGCACGCAGAGTAACTTATTTAATCGTATTTCAGGCTGAAGGAGAGAATCCGTTTAGTCTTTGAAGAGATTTCTCTGCAGAAAGGAGATCTGAGGTGAGTATCGTATTCACATTTTTTATTCTCTAATTTGAAAAATCTGATATATACATTGTATCAAATGAGAAGTAATGACAAACGATAACGAAAAGTAAATTGCGAAGCAATAAATTAGAGATTGCATTAACTGTTTGAGGCATTTTCCAAGCGTACCGTTTTAAAATTTCTTCCCATCATAAATGGTTTACAAATTTTTCCTTCCGGCGCATCCCGAAGTTGATAGATTTGCAGGAGCAACGTTCGGTGCATCCGTGGGAAAAAGTTTGCCGTACGTTCTTCGCATATCCTGGATAGAAATTGAGTTCTGCAAGTTGTGAAAGAGAAAAAGCTGAGGAGATTTAGCGGGAGGGATCAAAGTCGTGAATTCACCAAGTATGACCGGGCTGCCTCGTTTATGTAAAAGATGCGCTATTAAGCCCCGCCGGCTGTAGGTAGGATGGTGCGACCTGTCGATTTAAAACTTTGAAACTGTTGCGGCGTGTTGAAAACAGCACGTAACCGAAATCGCGAGAGAGATATCCGGGTGGACGTAATAGAGTACGCGGACGTGGAGACATGTTCGATGAATAGTGGGACTTTCCATTCATATGATAAGGATAGTTTGAACATTGGTTTGGACACTTCGTTATAACTTCATATCGGTACATATTGATTTTTATTTCACACGGATTAAAGCATGTTTCAAGAATTTGCTTAACTGAGTTTTTGTCTATTTTATATTAATTTTAGTCTGATGTTACGTTAGATTTTTGAAAGAATATCGAGCATTTTATGCTTTTTATGCTTTTTGTATTTAGGATATTTCAGCAGCTTCGAAGTCCCTCCTAATTCCCATTGCACTTTCAGGATCAATAATTCTACAACTCGAACTAGACACGTAATGAAAGCCGCGGGGCTGTTAAAAACTTTAAGAGGCGTCTGAGCATATTTATATGTGTGTGTGTGTGTGTGTGTGTGTGTGTGTGTGTGTGTGTGTGTACACGTACACGATCGCCAAAGGCGCAACGTCCGTAGTTTTGAGAAAAAAAATGGCTCAAGTTGGAATTACGAGAATATTCAATCGTTACTGCTGAAGACGAATACATTTTTATATCTTTAACAACAAATTTTCATTGGTTTTACGAGCGTTAATCGCGATTTTCTTTCCTTAATATTGAATAAAACTGAAAATATCTTATTACATAAATTAATCAATTTTGTTAGAGGCGAGACGAATGAATCAATTTTTTATTTAAAAATAAAATTTACAAGACAGAGAGTTTTCTTAAATTTTAAGATAAGGAGTATTTATTAGAGTCTATTAAAATTGAAACTGGAGGTATTGTGAAGCACAAATGTCTTTCTATTAATTATCTATAGTAGCAGGAGAATCTGCATGTCGCCATTGTCATTCTTAACAACTTAAAAACTTAAGCACGAGGTACTTTTCTTACGATGGAGCTTTTGTATGTATTGTTTTCTGGAATATGTGATAAATTTTAAAGATTCGTGCCAAGCGAATCTCCGTTACGCTAATTGTGAATTACGACCTGTTATTAACGTTTAAGAGTTAACGAGACGCAGTAAGGAATATCAGAATCACGAGAGCACGAAACTTTTCTATTTAAAACTTTCTTTCCCGATACAGCCTCGGGTATTTGATACAGCTCAAACAGTGTACGTCAGTCGGTACGCCAGTAATAGCTAGCAGATAGATTAAGCACGCAATGGAGAGAATGATTTACGCGAACGATAAAGTCATCCATCCTCTCTTGATATATTTACCACCTTTAAATCTAATTCCGTAATTGACATTTATAATAAACCAACGAAAATATACGTGAGCATTATCTGTTGTTCTCTCTACGAATACCTGCAGCTTACGGAAAATCAAATCCTTCAAATTGTTCTGATTTAATTCCGCTAAAATGTCTCTGCACTCACAGCAATCGTAAAAGTTATTCTGCGCTATCTGGGGATTTTATCGACTAGATGACGACACGAATAGATAATTGACGTCGATTGGCTTGGCCAGCCAGGTAAAACATTTGGGTTGAGATAGTGCGAGATAGAGATTCGACACTTAGGGAAGAGTGAAGCCAAACGAACCATTAAACTAATCAAACGAACTCGTTTGAATGTTTGCCGAGGTGCAGTAATGACTGTGGGCGTTGCGTCGTAAGCGATGTCGCCGCTGTCGAGAGATGTTGCAGAGTCCTGTTGAAGCTGACTCATCCTTACTGATGAACGACACACGAAAAGCTCTGTAATAGTTTCAAAGATTCGTGTCTTTTGATATCTTTTCTTATTCTTTACTTCTCCGTTTTTTTGTTCCTTTCCAATTTTTTTTTCTGCGCATATACTTTTTAAAATAGGATTGTAGAACGTGAATAATATCATTCATATAATGTTTAAAACAAGCAACGATCAGAGCGACATTGATAAGAGTCAACTTACGCGTAATTATTATGTAATACCGTGAACATCGATTTTACAAGTTAAAAATACAAAATTTACAACGTTTGAAATAAATTTCAAGATATATAAAAAAATGTTTTTTTTTTTTTTAAATAAACCATTTTCAATATTGTTATTTAAACGAGCTTGTATTAATTAATTTTTCCATACATAAGTCTCCTTTTCTTATATCATTGATTAAAAATTTATCGTTACCGTGCATTAAAAGTATACCAAAAAAAATGTCACGTGTGTGTGAACGAATAGGAGTCATATATTTGAAGAGATATCTAGGTTAATTTAAAATTTCAATGAAATGGTAATATTCAGTGAAGAGCTTGTTTGGATAGTCATGTTTTTCGCGTTGACCAATGAATACGAGCGAATGAAATCGATCGACGGACGAGTTTGCTGTAATTTGAACACTGCTGTACGTATTGAACTTCCTACGTTTTATGAGCGTTTCATGCGCGTGCCGAGAATAATCGCGGTCGTCAGATATATCTCGTTACGTTACACGAAGAACGTTCGTGAGTTGGTCTTCCACGATCTGTTCTTGAGTACTTAGGGTATGTGGGGCTGATGTTCCGTGTACTTACGGCATGCAAATCAGCGGGAGACCAGATACATATTCGCGTTCGCCGACCCGAAGGGATCTGATGTATTATCAGTCTATGAATGAGAGATAGCCTCTTCCTGCGCGCGACTCCAAATTTTACGATCGCCAATATGTCAAACTGCTAATGCTTCAGATATTACTGACATAAATCTGCCAGGCAGTAATACTGCAAGCTTGACTACCAATCCTTTCAAGCTAGCTGTCATAGATTCTCCTGTCTATTCTCCTAGTTAGTACCATTGAGAATGTGACAAACTTGGACTTTGTGTGCACGTACTGAGGACCAGAACATTTTTTTCGAGCAAACCCTATATATCTAAATTACATTGCAAAATCTCTCTCTCTCGTATTTTTCATATTTTTATGTGGTAACTCGAACTTTATATGGAAACTTCATATTTAGCCTACGAAGGCTATTATCAAGATATATTTACAACGTATTCGACCGAACTACGGTCTTCTATCGGTCTTTGTTAAAGATTTAAATCCAGCTATACCGCGCACGAATTTCACCTCTCGTTGTAATTAACTTCGCCGCAATACGATCTCGACTTGACAGTGATAGCTTACCTTTACGGAAATTCTCTTTTTAAATCCTGTAGTGTGTGCCAGTTACACACCTGACCTCTAAATCCTTTGAATACGGCGTGGACCACGATTCTACTTAACCCACATAAAGTTCCTCTCTGCGCGAAGACTTAGAGCTGAGAATGGTGATTGGGAGGTCGACTTGGAGAAACGAGAGGTGCCTGGGGACTCGCAGTTGCAGCGTGCAGGAGTTAATCCTTGATAAATCCTCGAACTCTGTCCTAATTCGGTATTGAGCTCCCTTAATTTCATTCCGTTAGTGACCTTTTAACTTTGAACTCGGAAATCAGAATCGATGATTTTGCGATTGAAAAAAATCTGTGCAAAAAATATTGAAATACTATCGAGATAAGATCTAGAAATTTTTACTTGACTTTGTTACGAAATAATAACTTTTTAGCAGGGTTGAACGATCTCATTTTAAAATAACTTATTGAAGAAAATTTAATTTAAATACAATTTTGAAAAACAATTTTAAAATACTACATATATCTCATGAATATAAGAAATGTGACGCGCTCATGAAATCTGAGAAAATTGAGAAAATTTTATACAATGAGGTTGACTCAAATAATACGAAAGCAAATATGATTTACACAGCGAGTGCAACGAGATATGAATAATGAACAATTTTCAAATCGCATTATACTATTACATAAATCTCAATATGAAAGCAACATAGAAAATAGAAAAAAAATATCAACTTGAAAACTAGCTTTCATGTTTATGTGAAACGTTCAAAATAATTTTATTTTTTTTTTTTAAATAAAATTATATACTTTTATAAGCTGTATATAAATATTATAATTAAATTATATTCACGCTGAATATATGGGAAGAAAAGAAATTAATATTGAAACTTGTTTAAATATTTGAAAGAATTATGTATATATTTTCAGATGCATATTACCGTCTAAATTTTTAAGCTTTGTACTTTATTTAGCAATAGTTTTATTTTATGAGCCTGAAACTGGCATCACATACAAATCTCATTTAAACTTCACTCTATATTCTGTTTCGCACGTTCTATCGAGGTCCAGTACCATAGTGATTCACGAGCAATTTGCTGCCAATGCAGCAAAAACTTATTTTTATGACAGAATTTGTAATTTTTAAATAATTAATTTACACGTAGCACCGGGTAATTTATTCACTCTAAAAATATTGGGACAACTTTCCAATAATTTACGCATCCAATCCTACATATCCGTAATAAAAACGTATTTACATTAAGAATATATCTATAATACAATATAATATCTAATAATATTTGCACAATAATATTTGTTATTCTTTAATGTAATATAAAAATTAATTGGATTTATTCATATTTTCATTTGAAATGCCAGTGAATTCAATAGTATTTGTATAACAAGATAAATAGACTCAATATTAACTCTACGCTGACGTATTTATATGAAGTGGTTTCAGTGGATGAATGCTTTCGCTGTAACGTGAAATCAGAAGAGAATATCTGAACCTGACCAAATAATATCGACTCATACAATTATTTACTATTCACGCTTTCATGAAACATCGTATGGTTATAACTTTCGTTTAATCTTTTCGTTTAATCATTGTTTATAAAAACTTTACACAACGCTAATTACTTTTTAGTAAATGAAATCAATAACGTGATAATAAAAAGAAATTTTTAAAAAGAAATTTTATTTTCTATTTGAAATCAGAATGGTCAGAGTTGAATTGAGCTTTTTACAATTAGAAAAGTGTTGATTTAGGAGAGGAAATTTGAATAAAATATGTTAACTTGAATATTATAATCGCAATATTCTCGATTATACATAGCGCGAGAAAAAGAAAGATTCGTTGAATTGAAAGGCGATACGCGAAATACGGTCTACAAATCTACGATCGATTGCGTTAATTTATATCGTGGCCGATGGCACTTCCTCCAAGACTGGTGGTAAAAATCTGTAAGAGCTCGGGTAAGAGCTGAGAAATGCCTCCATATATCAACGTTAAGCCGCTCCGTCAGATGCACTCGGATATTATCGTGAATGGTGCTGATGGATACCGAGAGACTCCTCCATCCAGAGCACTCGATACACTTCTACTCTATCCGAATGAACGCTTATAGCACGCATATACGTCACTCGTTCGCTCATATAAAGTTATAGTTGAGGGAACTATCGATGTAATATCGACAGTATCAATAATCCCTTTCTATATGGATATAAGTAATGAATAATCCTTTACTATATACGTTAACGTGTGAATCTTTGTACCGTCATTCGATACTTCAACGTGCTTTCACGCTTGAATTCAAGTTTCCAAAGGTAAACGCTACTTTAACGATATTCATGGAATAGCCACTGAAACATAGTAGACGGAATACGAATAAAATCGAGAGCAAAATGGAGTTGGTGATAGCCCGAAGTAAATCTTGTTGGGCACTTGAAGAATTCCTTGTACACACTCTGGGCGCGCGATACTACGCTAGATTAACTTTGATAGACGGATTTGCTTGCCTTCGCATTGAGTTCACTTACGCGCACCACTAACTTCATAGTTAAACTTTTCAATTTGATTGTTTTAAACAGATTTGAGATTTGCGTCTACTTATTATAATGCTCATCCAAAGTCATCGGCGATTGAAAGTAATCTTATCTGTTTCTGTTGTTTCTGTTTGCCATAGATACACAATATCTTACTGCACTTACATCAGAAAAGAACGATTTCATCGTGCACATGTAAGTGAGGTCAAAAGTCGCACGTGTAGGTTCAGAGGCAGGGAAGCGGAACGAACAGGCGGGACAGGGGTGGCTCTTTAATCTCTGGTTCTTCCGACGATAATCTTTCTCTGCCAACGTAATTGCTTAACCCGTGCAAGTAATAAGGTTATCCCGTCTGCCGTCATCGATCAAGCCTTTAAATCGATCGAATCAGTGATCCCGTCGATGTAGCGCACGATTCCTAAGGCTGAAGGCACCGAAGATGTAATACTCCTCTTCGGTTCGATCGAGTTGAGTAGTTCGCGTACACGTATGGAACGAATCGTTGGTCGTCGAGACTCTCTCCTTGGCTTAGCGCCCACAGCTCGTCTTGTCGACGATGCCATCCTTTGTCACTGTACACTCTTTACAGTTTCACCTTCAACCCCCATTGAACTGTCTCGCTTCATTCTACCTCTCATCTCTTTTGTCTTCCCTTTCGATCCCGTTCCCTCTAATGCGTGTTATCTAGAGAAGCCGCAGAACTCAAAGCGAACTTAACATACCTTCGTTGCCGAGAAAGGCAACTCTCAAGGACTCTCTCTTTATTTGCGCATCTCATTTCGCAATTTAAATCTTTGTAGAGGTAAATTTCTATGAAGTAAGATATAATATTTCTATACGCTTTGATTTAGGGGACAATATTAAAATAGCAAAATTATCCTAATAATAGATTTTGTCAATATAATATATTATAGGGCCGTGTGTGGGTATGCGTATATGTGTGATAACCCATATAGAAATCTAAGTCTTACACGGTCTAGCTGGATCTTAATGCTGTATGATTCTTATGTAAATTTATATATTATGTAATCCCTAGAAACGCGCGTCGAAATGATTTTTCGGTCTTGAAATGCTAATTCTACTAAATTACCGCAGTATATAATATCACGAGTTAAATTGACTAGCAATTTAAAAAATTTTTGATGCTTGTTCGCATCTTCGAAACGATCTTAATAATGTTGAATGACATTAAAATCTGTAAATAATTAATTTTTATTGCGAAAAATATTACCTCGGGAGTTGTAGTAGATTTTATCAATGGATTTCTTTATTTCACGGCAGTCTTAATTCTGCCGTGCCTTGACTAATTATCTTATACTTTAGTATTATCTTATATTCTGACTATTTATAGAGGAAAGCTTCTTATTATGAGATAACAGCATTTCTGCTAATCTAATAAACGCTATTAGTTCCACTATGAATTTATTGCTCTTGGATTGAAAATTATTTAGTAGAAAATTCATTATTAGATCATGCCGGTAGTCATTGTAAAACAAGATTTTAGAATTTGGATGTCTTCAAGTTTCAGTGAGATGAGCATTTAAACCTTGTTTATTATTTAATAAATAAATATTTGGTAATAAATTCTTCATATAGTGATAGAGTAAGGTCATACTAATTGAAAAATACGGGATATGTTGTATTGTTTAATTACAGAAGTTAGATTTGATGATCGTAAAATTATAAGGCATGGAAATCGTAATATGAGATACTCAGGGTATTCCTAATATGAAATAAACCATGCTCTTATGTTATAGTGAAAATTGTTATTAAAGTATAAATGTTATTGTACAATAATAAAAAGGATAATCGGAATGAATGTCGAGTGTATATCTGCTTGATTCCAACTACCTAAAAACGAGTTCTGAGTATAATCTATCGCATGCTCATTTTCCGCGCATGCTGATTGTGTTTGTTTGTATTTTAGAAACATTAAATAAAGTTTTTTAATTGCAATACTGATATACTTTGCGTTTTACTATTGATTTTTCGGGGCACTTCATATTAGGAGCACAATTTTTTAACTTTGCGATTTGCTCACTTTTTACATTTCTTTAATTTTCAAAAAATAATGGAATTTGAATTAAATTTTATCTTAAAGCTTATTAAATTCTTTTCAAAATAACCTATTATTTTTTTAAATTCTGCCTATAGACTAACATTTACTCAAAATTAACTCGGTATCTTATAATAGGGCCTTTCCTCTATATATCTTTTATAATGGTTATTGCATGAATCTTGGACTTTATTCTTATAATTATTTGTTCCTGTAATTACATCTCTCAGCATCAAATGAAATGAATTGTATAAGATTGCAACGAAATTTATGCACCTCACTTAGGATCTTTCAATTCTTTAGTGGCTTGATGCATGAGTGACGTGTCATATTTTTGAAGAATTGTATTAACGCTGATGATGACTCTAAAAAGAATCGAAACGTTCATTTTTATGTGAAATATACGCAATTAATTACTGCACTGATTAACAGTATTATTTAATCATGCTCCAACTGCATTACATACTCTCATTCACCTGATTTTTCTCAGGATTTTTTTTATTTCTATACTTCTTAACAGCGCTAGTATCAATTAATTTTTTTAGAGCAGATTAATCTGAAAGTAATGTACGATAAGTTGCTTCTAACGAAAAGCGATGTGCTTGTTCTGTTACAGTTGTCTGAATAGAGCGGATTTAATCAAGGTACACGACGGAACGGATTCAGGGGCGCCTACAATAGCTGTGCTCTGCAACCAGGGAACGGAAGTGGAGGTACTCAGCACAGGACCAGGTCTCTATGTTGAGTTCGTCGCTAATTCCGAATGGCCGGGCCAGGGTTTCAAGGCGATGTTCCAATTCCAGCCATTGGACGATGCGCTGCATCCTGGTCAGTAACGAACGACGATTACTTGTCGACATCACGAAAATTCACCCTTCTGAACATCCTTCGATCCCGCCACTCCTCTTTCTTCGGCACCGTCTCATCTCCTACGATGTGTAAGACCACGGCCATTGATAAAGTTTCCACTCAGGTGAGTCCCTAAAGTCATGGGACGAGCCATTAAATTATCCACTACCTTATGTCGTATTCTGGAAAATAGTTGTAGAAATATCTTTTAGATTTCGTTATGTGTTGGGATTTTCTATCTTATCTATCTTTTTCATTTACACAGCAATTTATTGTTTCTATAAAAATTAACAAATTCGCAATAATCAAACTTTTTCATTTTTATAAATTTCTTTTGATTATTCAATATCATATTATTATCAAAATTCTTGTTTTGAAAACATAAAGATTTACATACAACTTGTACCGTCAAATTAAATTATTTCTCTTATATTTTTGAAAGACATAAATATAGTTTGATTAAAAAAATGATTACAGTCAAAAAGAAGTTATATATGTTATTAAAAATTTAGTTGATAACATTAAATTATCAAAGTATATGCTCAAGTATTGTCGGTCGGTATTGTAGTTTGAAGTTCAAAAGCTCAACATAACGCGTCGCTATGTTAAAGCATGTGTGAAAGCGCCATGAAACAGAGCTTTTGCGAAGCTTTCCGGTAACGCTGAAGCCTTTCGCGGTCGGCAAGGAAGATCGTGCAGCTTTCCAACAAACTGTAACATCTAGCGAGAAAGCTTATATTACTCTGAAAATATCGAATCTTCTTTGCTTACTTGGTAATTGGTAATTCAAACTATTCAACTTTTTCAAACATATTTGAACTGTTCTTTGATTTTACCTATTGTTATTATTACATTTTTCAACATTGCCATTAATAGATATACTGTATGTGGAAAATGATAAATAAACATATGATACTGATTATCATATGATAACTGAGTTTTGACAATACTATATTTTTACAACGTATTATTGTTAATATCATTGCTCATTATATCAATAACGAGCATTTGGCAAATTTTGAATTAATATCGACGTTCAATCAATATTTTGACAAAATCTGAGCGCTACTGTTCTCAACAAGAATACAATCTAATGTATTTACAAGACGATGAATCATACGGATAGATCCTTTGTACTAGGTAGATTGGCTGCGGTCCATTGCATACGCGACTCCCTGTTGTAATTAACGGCACTGTATATTCTGGAGATAATTACAATAATGTGTTTCAGAGCCGGACAAGGTCCCAGGAGCCGTTACGGGGAACCCCAAGTACTCAGTCATCGGACCAGCTGTCAGCGCTACTAGTAAGTATACATTGCATGCTGTGCACGCGATTTATCACCTTTCTTAATCAATAATTGCCTCGCCATGTCCCATGGCACTTTCTGAGAAAAGATAAATTTTGTGGAATAAATTTGTACGAGCTAAACTACCACAAAATCGGGATTTTACCCTTAAAGATGATAAATATTATCTCGGTTAAACGTGAAAAAATGCGAGGATGTCTATGTCGATAAGTACATTATAATACAGCTTGTATTATAATGAATGTATTAGATCTGTTAGTTTCGTAAAAAAAGAAAAAAAGGAAAAAAAATAGAGCAATTATTGCATCTACGACTTTCCGAACGAGTGAAATGTAATCTGGGAAACGTGACGCACAGTCTAGGAAACAGGATACCTCGATGTAAAATAAAATTTTACTTTAGACGTAACATACTTTTATGAAGTCTGAAAGAATAAGGATAACATCAGCCTCGAGGGTATACGGTTCCTGTCGTTGTTTAAAAGGATTATTTTGATGTCTTCAACATGAATGTCGGCGAATACGTGTAGAAATATGATTTTCCCCAGAGCCCTCGACACATAACTTCTCCGTAACGTAGCAGCATATAAACTTTGCGAGTACTTGCGCTTGTAGAATCATCACCCGTATGTTAGGATGATGGTGAAAGCTCGACGGACTCCGAATTTTATGGCTTTTTCATGAAAATGAGGTGCTTATCTCGTGCCCTAAATATTACCATAAATTCAGTTGATAAACAGCTTGCGTTTGAGATTTGATTTTCGTATACTCATTTGTTCGTGTAACTCTGAACTTACAATTTATTTATTAATCTTTTATTGACATATACAGCGATTTAGCAGCATTGTGTAATTACCTAATTCATATTTTTATTATATATTTTTATATATATGTATATAATATATAATATAATAATATATAATAAAAGATATATACGTCAGAAGTCTCTATATATAATAGCTTATGTCCTTTAACATTTAATGCATTCAGATTATTCAGATACTCCCAGACTCGATTCTAATTTCAATTTGTACGTGGGACTCAAGACCTTAACATGTTTACTCATGTAAATCTATCTCTTAATACGGGTGAACAACAACAGCTGCGGCATACGTAGGAATGCGTGACAATGAGAACCTTTACCAACACAACGTCATAAGGGTACTTGAGGCTCGAATGGAAGCCATCCTATGAGACACCGAAGTTTATGAAGGCCGATCCTATCTTTTGACTCTCCTCCATATAATGTTTAGAGGGTTACCTTAGAACAATTATCATAAAATCTGTTCGAACGTTTGTTTGTATTCGCCAAGTGTTATATACATAAAGTTTGTCTTAATATATTCGTTGCTTAGTATTACCGTTGAAAAAAGTCGATTGCTAAATTAACATTACACCTTTTATAATATTATACAAGATATATCCGAGTAATAACAAGCAGTTTCTCTGAAGCACGTCAGTATTGAGATCGTCAAGGGATGAATTAATGGTTACGAGAGGAAGATTGAAATGTTTTCAAAGAGATATCGGTAGATTTCGATCGGCACGTTTGTGCACTAACTGTAATTACGTAAAGTGAGAAATGAGCAATGTCGTCGTAGTAAGAGTGGGCTTCATTTACGTAATTGGTTGGTTACGTGAAAATATCGTCGATTCGCACCGTGAAAACGTACTAAGGGCTAACTTCTGCGTATTCTCGTCTCTTTCCTCGTTTCCCTTTTTTTTTTTTTTTTTTTTTAATCGAACGGGAGCGAAACGAACGTCGATAAGGTAATTACCGCAGAAATTAAGTGCGCCGATAAATAGACGGAGGAAGTTGTTCTATCGGAAACGGATGGTCAAGTTTTCCAATTTTTTTTCACACTTAATTGTGAGAGAAAGAACAAATTACACATACTGATATACGCTGGATGCAATAACGTGCGTGCATCACTTCACAGAGATCCCTCGTACTGTGCTGTTTACCGTACAGCGTACACGGAGTGAAGCGAATAAGCAATAAATAACGTTCGTGGACAAACTCGCGCGTTTGCGCGCACCAACGAAGGTAATGTTCTGCTAAACGTATATATACGCGTTAAGCTTTCCGAAAAATGACGTATTTCGTCGCGGATAATGTCGGCCGCGAGACGGTAAATTCTGATGGCTATGCCAGACCTTCGTCATCTCGGCCGAGAGCCGAGTCGAGAATGCGTGAGAGAAACGAAACGGGAACGTACGAATGATGGATCGAAATTCTACAATTTTCTCACTCCGTTCAGGGAAGGTGCTATGTATGTGCTATGCTCGCACGATGCTAACTTTGCAAACGACGTAACGTTGTTTCCCGGTATTTTACGCTCGTCTCCAAGCCGGAAAGTACGCTTTCCTGTGAAACTAATAATAACTTTCTGCAGTGCGCACGCTTTACACTTAAGATGTAAGTGTCGCAAACTTTCTACGATGCACCTAGTTGCGATAACAAATTTCCTTTACTACTATTAGAGCGATTTAATTGCCGATGAAATATCGTTCCTTCTGTTAAGGGCTAGAATAAAAAGATTCTTCCGGATTCTCTTCTTTTCCGTGAAGATGATGAATGTTATCTAAACAGTAATGTCGCATCGTGTGTTACAGTACGATTGTTGGAGATTTTTTTTTTTTTAAATTAAATAATCTTTTAAATTCATATCACATTTATATGCGATGACTTTGTCAATTTGATTGATATTGACACCGCGTTTGTCAAATTTAAAGAATCGTAAATAACGGTCAATGAGTTTGATGACGCATGACATGTAACTATTTCATAATTGCGATAATGTACCACAGCAATATTGCAAACTCTACGATTGATGTATCGTTATAGTTCATAATTTATGAACGGAATGACAAATTTACATGGCCGTAAGTGGAGCGCAAGCACTCCAATTTTATATTCTTGAATATTCACGTTATTCATCAGCTATGAATATGTACGCTCGTCTAGCACATTGCACACGCATCTAGTTAAAAATATTCTACTAACGTACTGATCAAGTATACAGGTGTATGCATAACGGTAAATTTCCTACATAATGAATGACACATTGATGTCGCAAGCCCCAATCGTAGTTATTGTTTGTCATACGCTAATTTATTGAACAAGTGGCCGCAAATATGTATGAGCGTCATACACACTTTAAGAGGAAAGAAATATTTTGTATAAAATTACAATAATGAAGATAAGGCTATGAGCCAAGCAAGATCTTGATGCTACGTTATTAAAAAACAATTTATTACGAGCGTACGTTTCGACCCCAATCATTTTCAATGATAAAACAATAAAATTCAAACGGAACTAACTAATCGTTCTAATAACAATAAAATATAAAGAAATATAACGTAATTATTAAAACGAAAAAATTAGAAAATCTATTCACAAATTCCAGCTATGACTGTGAGATACATTCCAGATACATTGAATCGTTTTGTGGTCGTCAACAGTTTGTCTTACAGTAGAGTACAACAAGAAAAAGCGTAGTACAAAGATTTTGTAATGTAAATATTCTTTAGTATTTTTCTACGAAAAATTTCGACAATTATGCTGTGTTGCAATTCATCAGCTGAAACGTGATCTCGGATAATCGATTATTCAATGTCTTCATTTAGAATTATCACAAATGTAATTCAATCGCGGAGAAGTCCGTGATTGTTCTACGTAAGTAGGTCAAATCATTACACGCAAATGCGTCATGATGAAAGGGAGATTATTATATCATCGCCGTGATGAAATAGGAAAAAAAAGAGAGAGAAAAAGAAACGTAAAGACATAATAATACGTGCTATCCCGTCATTACCGACGACATCCAACACAATGAGATTTGATCATAATAACATCGTGCCATAAAGCGTGCCCACCTGCGTCTATGTGTCGGATGCAGAATGATCCACTCGAAACGAAACGGCCTCGCGTGATAAAGTGGATACTAAACCGGCCGCGGTGAAAAAAAGAGACTTGTAGGATCCTATTATCGACACTTGTTCAGCGGACACTGCGTACGCGATCGCCGAAATTTACGATGGACCATTTTACCTTTTATCTCTCTCCCATTTGAGAAAGTTTCTTCAAATGTCTCACTTGCCATTATTGTAAGAATTACTACGACGTTTACGTATAAACTACGAAAAAAGGATTTGGAGGAGACCACCAATTTGATCGCGAGGAGGCCATCGTCTCTCTTCCTCTTTTCTCCATGGAGAAAAGGACTAACGTAAGTCGCATTTATCAATCGGCAAATTATTTAGCGATATTTAGCGAATTATTATTTTTCGATATACCGCGATATTCTCAATAATTAATTAAAACGCGTGTCGCATTCATCGCATCAACGTCCAAATTAGTTTGTTTATGTTTCCTTTCCGTTTCTATTTGAATAATTGCTTCGATTCGCGCGTGGCTATGTAGAAGGTACGCCGCAAAAGCTATTCATAAACATTATGCGACGAGCGGCATTAACATGTAGCTGGAAATGCCCGCGCACTTCGCCGCACGAATCATACGGGATGCCAATAAATCGTCGTGACTGCAAGCAGTGGATCTCTGGCCGTCGATTCGGCGACCGGCTATCGATTTCCGGGTGTGCGGTCGGGATATCGAAATCGAACGTTACCGAGGTAAGTCCCGGACTGTCGGAAATGTATAAGATCCATCTCGCGCGCTTTTCAGGGATTGACGTTGAAAGAGTCACGATTTACGTTAGCCCTTTTCTCCATGGAGAAAAGAGGAAGAGAGACGATGGGGAGACGGTGACCCCTCGGAAGCCGTAGAAATCTAATAGACCACAAGCGAGGATGAGATATTGGCCTGGAGATCGGTCTCGATCGATGAAGCGTAATAGTACTTACCCTACCGTATCGTCAAATTCGTATTCAACCCGTTCCTGCGGATACGGGACTTTCTCAATCGTTTTACCATCGTTGTTCGCGCGCCTTGACGATTGAATTAATGTAAGTGCATCTAGCATAGTGCATGTTTTT